GGCGGGGTGTGTGGCCTTATGACACACTTCCGGTGATGTCAGGGGGTGTGGCCTTATAACACACTTCTGGTGATGTCAGGGGGTGTGGCATATGCTAATGAGTTATGCTAATGAGTTCCCCTAGCTCTTTTTCTATGAAACGACCCCTGAGGAAAACAATATATTCTGAAGGAAGATCCTGAGAGATAGCTGGGCCTGTAACTGAAGTGTAGGTAGTTCTTCTCATAAGGCGGCACATGTGTTTGTATACAGAGAAAGAAAATAATGCAAACAGTTCCCACTCTCTGATGAAGATATGATTTAAAGTCTGTTAAAGAACAGCTACCAAAATGGAGGTGGGGGTGGGGAAGACTCCTCCCCCAATGAGTTCAGTACTTAGTTCTCCCCTGCTCAACCCTGTAAGGGAGGTTAAGCTAAGAGAAAGTGACTGGCTCATGGTCACCCAATGTTCTGACTGGGGATTTGAACTTAGATCTCCCAGGTCCCAATTTGACACTCAAACCACTATACCACACTGGCTGTCATACTGGTTTGTGCTTCAACTAAAGTTCTACTAACCTCACCTATTTCCATATGGCCTCAAATGCCTGAAGGAATATTTTCTGTGCGTGTGTATCTGAATGTACCAGCCACAACCAAATAATGTGTAACTCTCCTGAATACGCCACTGTGATGCGGTGTTAAACAAGCAGCTCCTCAAAACTGAAGGGCAAGAATCTACAGCAGAATCTATTACAAAAATCTCATTTCATCTTCTCCCACCCCTACTAAGAGTGGATGCCTCTATAACTGTGCAAACCATTTATAACAGAAGACACCAGCACTGTGATTCTCACTGAGGAATATACTCACTTCATCTGGTAAATGGACAGGAGCCAGGAGCAGAATCCCTAGAAAGATAGTTAAAGGAAAAGGAACAACTGATTGAAATCAGTCACGGAGCACACACCCATCTGGAGAGGTTTGCTTCCACCTCAGTGGAATTAAGCCCACACCTGCACACATGCAGGAATAAGCTTTTTCAGGGCAAAAGTAAATGAACAAAACAACAGTGCCGAGAAGCAAGAAGACACAGCAGAGGACTTATGCCATGATATTTAATCACAGTTAATCAATATTAATTAGCTTCTTTTTGGAGGAACCTGAAAAGCAGGATGATTCTAACTCTATGCCTTGCTAGAACATCAGAGGACAGACTGCTACAAGTGTATTTTGACTTTCCACACATTTCCACTCTCATATCCAATGCTCCCTCTAAGCTGTGGTCTTGTGAGCAAAAATTCTACTTTGTGAGCCACTGGCATTAAAGTTGTGAGCAAGCAATTTGGCTATTTCATAAATTAGTTTGCTCTGGAGCCATCCTTCCTGAGCTAAGACAAAAATGCGTGAGCCAGAGGCTAAAAAACTGTGAGCTAGCTCACACTAACAGCTTAGAGGGAACACTGCTTGCATCTATCTGCCTCTGGCTTATCGGCATTGTTGCATGATGGATAATATGACTACGAAGTGAGGATGATAGGCTACCACTCCCTAAAAAAATACTAGCATGGATACTAAAGCCTTCTTTCAACTTGCACTCCTCTTTATCCATTGCAGAGGTAGTCCTCCACTGTGGAGCCCATTCCTCTCACACTGGGTTCTTTTTGGTGCATGCTCCACAGCAAGGGACCACCTCTACAATGCGCAAAAAAAGAGTGCAAGTGGAAAGGAAGTACAAGATACAAGCAATCAGCAACTACTCCCCTTTAATATCTGACTGACCCAAGGTCATATTAACCAGAAATTCCCAATGAAACTCACCACATCTTTAGTATCCGCATCTAGGGGACTGGTCTCCAATGGCGATTTCTCTTTTTCACTTTGCTCCCCATAGAAGAGTGACGTCAGGCTTTGCATGTATCAGAAGAGAGGAAGTATTTACAGGAAGATGCAGGAAAGAGGGGAAAGAAGCCAGGAGAAAGGGGATTTGGAAAGGTTTGAATTAAGGGTAAGTTTTCAGGAAGAAAGGAAAGAAGAGAAAAGAAAGAAGGAAAACACAATTGTCATCAGAACAAATTTAAGTGCCTAGTTCTTCCTGCAATTATCCCAGTCCCTAGAAAAGGAGACAGGCCTACAGAAAGAAAGGTGAGGAAGGCAGACGAAGAAGAATCAAAATGTTCTAAATAAAGCAACTGCACTCATTGTCATTTAAGAAAGCCCACGGGAAACTGGCAGCTCTTCTTCCCCCATGCATGGCACAGTTTCAGTTTTTCCAGAGTAGCTATGTAGCCAGATGCATCACTGTAAAGGGGATGGAATCAAAGGGAGGGGAGCCTCCCCAGCAGTTTGTAGAAATTTAACCTTTATGAATGAGAGACACCAGAATTTTGCATACATCATTGCAATTGACTGGATGGAAATGAAAGCTGCTTTCATATGCCTCATAGTCCTACTACTGCTTATTCCTAGTAAAAGAGACCCTTGCTCTGAATGGAGTGGGGGTCAGGGGAAATTTCTGTAGGTGGGATAAAAGAATCTGTTCACATAGGCATGTAGAAAAGCCACGAACTGTATAAGCAGAAATCTTCCCAGGTTTTACTCCTGACTGTCCCATCTCTAAGGGAGGGGCTGTGACTTGGTGACAGAGGATGTGCTTTGCATGTAGCCGGTCCCAGGTTCAAACCCTGTCTTCTCCAGTTAAAAGGATCAGGTAGCAGGTGATGAAAAAGACTTTTAGCTGAGGCTCTGAAAAGCCAGTCAGGGTAGACAATAAGAACATAAGAAGAGCTCTGCTGGATCAGACCAATGGTCCATCTAGTCCAGCATCCTGTCTCTCACACAGTGGCCAACCATTTCATCTGGATGGCCAAGAATAGGTCATAGAGGCCGAGGCCTTTCCCTGGTGTTGCCTCTTGGCTCTGGGATTCAGAGGCTTAGTGCCTCTGGATGTGGATGTTCCCCCCAGTCACTATGGCTAGTAGCCACTGATAGACTTATCCTCCATGAATATATCTAATCCCCTGTGGCCATCACCACATCCTCTGGCAGCAAATTCCACATTTTAATCACTTTCTGTGTAAAATAGTATTTCCTTTTGTCCGCCCTGAACCTACTACTCATCAGCGTCACTTGATGCCCTTGACTTCTAGTATTTTGAGAGGGGGATAAAAAGTTCCCTTTGTCAACTCTCTCCATCCCATGCATAATTTTATAAACCTCTATCATGTCTCCCCCTTAGTTATCTCTTTTCTAAACTTTTCCAAGCGTTTCCTTGTAGGGAAGGTGCTCCAATCATCTTGCTTGCCATACTCTGCACTTTTCCAGCTCTGCAAAGTCCTTTTTGAGATACGGGGACGGGTATTCTAAATGAGGCCACATCACAGATCTATACAGTGGCATTACAATATTGGCTGCTTAATTCTCAATCCATTTCTTAACAATCCCTAACATAGAATTTGCCTTTTTCATCACTGCAGCACACTAGGTTGACACTTTCATTGAGCTATCCGCTATGACCCCAAGAGCTTTTCTTCTCTCAGTCTCAGCAAATTTAGACCCTATTAGCCTATGCTTGAAGTTAGGATTTTTTTGTCCCAATGGTCTGATTTAGTGTAAGGTAGCCCCATGTGGTCATGTAGCTTCAGCTCTTTTCCTCAAACATGGGCCCTGTTCTTTGGAACACCCACCCAGAGGAGATCAGGAGGATTCCTGCTTTGGCACAGTTTCAGAGGCCTTCTAAAGCCTTCCTGTTCCAGGAGGTTTTTTAGAGCAGCTGATACAGGTTTTTTTGGTCAGTCTGTCCTTAAGAATATATTAATATTTATGTGGTGATTTCTGTAAATAGTCTTCAACCACTGTTTAACAGTGGAATATAAATAGTTCAATTAATAAATTAACAAATAAGCCGAGACATTACCTGTATGATAGTTCTGACCAATATTAGACAAGGCAACTGACCAAGTATTTTTTGACCAGCCATAGGATTTTTGGGGGTTCAAAGCATGTGTTCTATGGCCTTTCCCCCAAAGCTCTGTCTTCTGAATTCAAGAAGTACAGAAGATTTGCTATTGTTCCATGGTTACATCACAGACATGATGTCATTCATTTGGCACAGTGCCACTTGCTTGTAAGATTGGAATAGAAAAAGCTTGCATGGAGACAATAGTCTTTAGAAGAGACAAGAAATTTAAGCCAGAGTGATGGTTCAGTGGAAAAAAATACCTCCTCAGGCTCTTGACTAGAAACGTTTGCTATTACTGAAATATGAACCAAGTAGCTTGACCACAGCCAACTATGGAATGACAAGAGCAAGGAAGGCGGGTGAGAGCACTTGTCTGAATATGGAAGTTTAACACAGGCTCCACAGGTCATTCTAATAAGCTGTTCAGACAATGAGCCTATGAGGCCTTGCCAGCATCACATTTAACCCTCCACCTTGCTCATGATTGGCCTAAAGCACTTTGCAGATAGGCCACAGTCAACATTTGAAATCATCCTTACTGAGACACCACAGTTCACGGTTCATGACCCTTGGTGGGTCGTGGCTCAGTGGCAGAGCATCTGCTTTGTACACAGAAGGTCCCAAGTTCAATGCCTGGCACTTCCAGTTAAAAGGACCAGGTAGGAGGAGGTGAAAGACCCCTGCCTGAGAACTTGGAGAGCCGCTGTCAATTTGAGCAGACAATGGACCAATGGTCTGATTCAGTATAAGGCAGCATCATGTATGTGAGGTGCCTGACAATAAAGGGAATTTTTGGAAGAGACGTTATCTTGTCTCTTTTGGCATTAGCATCTGAGAAAGGGATAAATGAAACCCAGAGCCAAATAGCAACAAGCGACAGACTACAAAGTAGTAATAATCTCACACACCATGAGGAGAGGGCTTCCCAATCAAATTTGCAACAAGAGTTGCTTTGGAACTGTGGTGTCTGAAATAAGCAATGCCCATCATTTTCTATGGAAATGTCCTCTGGAGCAAACTATGACACAATCAGGGGTTCTCAGGCAATCCTATGTTAGTGTGAGACTGTAATCAATATTTACAAGATGCTGACTGTAACCTCTCATTTCCCCAACATGACCAACAGTAAGTGTTTCTGAAAGGAAACAAAAACTAAAAGAACCCCCTTCAAAACCCTTCACCACCAGACAGCCAAAGCCACAGAGTGTAAGGAGGAAGATTCTACAAGAGGATATTGTCAGGAAGCTACTCCATCTACCCTGCAGTTAACTTCCTGTGAAGGAAAGAAGGGCCACTGCAAAGCTGGGGGTGGAGCTTCATGGCTCCCTACAGCAGACAGAATATGAAGCAGAGGGCAAGTTCATCTGATTCAAATCTATCCCACAGCCTCTCAGGAGTTCACCATCAAAAAAACTTCTGTTATCATTCCACTGTCGCATTTGTACGCAAATAATAATCATAGATCTCCACCTGAGTCCTTTCTACAGCCCCCAACAGTGAATGCAAATCACCCATTGAAAGTTTACAAAAAAGGGGACACCCCTCCCCTGGCCAAGTATTTCCTTTTTCACCTTGACAGAATCAAGGGAAAAGTGAGGAACTTTGGGGGAACATAGTTACTCCTCTGGGACTGGATCCAATTTCCAATAGTCCCTTAAATGCAGTGGCAATTCCTTCTCTTTCACAAGAATTCACATCTCACCAACACCTCCATTCCCATGTCACCCTTTTATCATTACTCGTAGGAATTCCATGTGCTTGGAGGGAAACGGCTGGTTTGAAAAGAAATGAGGGTAGGGGCGTGGAAGAGAGATAATTAGAGCCAACCACTAATAGTCATACTAACACTTCTTAGCATTCATACAGTGCTTTAAAGGAATTCAAAGTGCTTCAAGTGCATTATCAAAAAAGATAAGACTGTTAGGTGGAACTAGTTTGAACACTTTCTCTGCATTTTGAAGCACTTGTTTTTTAGGGCAGATAATTTGTGTTCAAAAAGCTTCCAACACACTTCGAACATTTCTGTCTTCACCCTAAGTAATCCTTACACCAACCTACAATGAATGTTTATTTTATAGCTGTCACATAGGGGAATTTCACATTACCAGTCTTCTCCCGGTTTCAAGCCGGGAGTCTTCCTACACCAACCTACAATGAATGTTTATTTTATAGCTGTCACATATTTTCTTGACTATCTGTAATTATAAACATTAGAACACTGTTGATTGTTGGCTTAAATGTGTTTGGTTCCTCAGGAGTCCATGTGTATTTTTACATTCTGTATCATGAGGTACCACTGTATATAAAGGTACACCATTACGGGCATGGAGATGACATTTTGGCCATTGCTATCCTGCCTTGGGGCTATTGCGAGGATTGCCTGCACCTCCAAGTGTCAGCTCACAACCACCCATCTAGCTTGGTTCAGAAAACCGCTCCACTTTGCCCTCAGCCCCTCCATCAGGAGGCCTTACCTGTCATTATCCACCAGCAAAGCCAGGCACCCGTACTCCCAAGCTGCTTTCCGAAGGCAGGAGAAGACCAAAAGGAGGAACTGCAGCAGAAAAGAGAAATCACAGCCCTCAGGTTTTAAAAGGGAACTCATTTAAACCTCTTTTCCTGGCCTTTGTGCTAACAGAAACCACTGTATCAGGTAATCTTCATTATAAGGGTCAAACTGCACATGATAATTTTTTGAGAATCAGGTCTAGGTTTGCCCTTCCCAGCTCACACATAACGCTGCTGAGAACTCAGTTCTCAAGCATCTAGGGCCTCGACTGTGATCAGGACCATGGTGTGGGGGGAAAGGGGGCTTCAGCCTCTCCTCCTGCATGATTTTCCTGACCCAAAACGTGCTTTGCCCCCATTGGGGAGCTGCACAGTTAGCCCATTTGTATATGTGCAGCTCCCCAATGGGGAATAGTGCTCCCACCAAGGCTGTTACAGGTTGGGAAAATGATGTGGAGGCAAAGGTAAGAGCCCTTCCCCCCATGCCATGGTCCTAATGGCAACTGAGGCCCTGCAGGCCCAGGAATGGAGTTCCCAGCAGTGTCATGGGTAGCTGGTGTGGTATAAGAGTCAGGTATGGGTTATCTGACTTTTTAAAAAGTCTCATGTAGTTCAGCCCTAATATATGGCAACTATGAAATAAAAGTACAGTGATAACAGGATTCTGTTCCCACATTTTTGGAATCTACAGGTTTCTACAGCAAATGTGCATTCCTGATTTTGCATTTGCTGAAGTAACGTGCATATGGGAGTGGCAGGAAGAAAGGGTGCATAACCTTTCTTATGCCCAACGATTTTCACTGAAAATATCCTCCCAGGCAGATTCCCAGGCCCCCACTCCTGCAAGATGGCATGGGCTTCACTGGAACTTGGTATGTTAAAGGGTAAAAACCATCCAGAGAGGCAGTTGCAATTAAGGCAAGCTGGTAGATGGGGGTGGGAAGGGTGAAACACTCTCTGCTCACCAGGTCTCCCCAGCAAATCCCAGTCCTCCCAATAATGTAACACATAACTCTGGCCAAACATTTTGCAGGAACAAGCATCCTTGGTAGCCATGCAAACTGTTGTCAGGACAACAGCAATTACAGATAAGATTGTTTGAATGCAACAGGTAAGGTGCTGGCTAAGTGATTTTCAACTTAGTGATGATCAAATGACAAAGTTACAATGCAGATCCCCCCCCCCCCAGTTTTTAAAACATCATCAAAGCCCCATCTATTCAGGCAGGCTAAGAGGTTTTATTTTAGTTGTTTAAAAACTTCCTCTTTAAGACTCCCCCACAGACACAAATTCTCACTTCTTTGCATTGTCTTAATGCATATATGTCCAGATATATTGTGATGCTAGGTGGATCAAGACAAAGAAACAAAGAGCTTACAGAGCAGTGTTTAAACTTATGTTTAAACTCCCCATTACAACACTTTCCCCCAGATACTCAACCACACTTGCACACATGCTCAAGGCCCTTTGCAGTAGGGATCCCCTTTTCCTGTCTGGATCTGAGACATCCTGTCTATGTATGCGTGTGATGTCAATCCCCCAACTAATTATTGCTGATCCCTCTGACTGATCCCAGCCATGCCCAATTGCACATGGAGCATTGTGGGGAGGTGGGTAATAAATGGACAGTAATGACATATTGCTTTGACCCAGCACCACTCACCAGCCAGAGGATGAAGTTGAGAGCAAGTACGGTGGGTACCCCACCAAATGGCAGCCCTTGCAAGACTGTGCTATGTGAGCGGGCACTGAAGCACTGTTCTTCTGTGCTGTTGCTCAGGGTATCCAGGAGCGTGAGGACACTCAGGGAGATGGGGCTCCCATCCCCTGATACAGGATCGTCTATGAACATGCCGTCCATTGATGATGCGGGTGCTCTTCTTGGGTGTCTCACTCCATAAAATTCCTGGGTGGAGTTAGAAAAGAGAGGGGCAGAGTAGAGGGGGGTGGAAAAAGCCCAAGCCAAGATGACAGTCATCCTTATTCCAGCACTCACTGTAGACAGCAGAAAATGGTGCAGGGTAGGAGGAAGAAAGCAAGGAAAGCTCAGTACATAAACATGCATGAAACTGGCTTAGACTGAGTCAGGCCATTGGTCTATCAAGGTCCGTAGTGTCCACTCTGACTGGCAGCAGCTTTCCAGGGTCTTGGGTAGAGATCCTTCATATCACCTCTTACTGGATTTCTGTACCTGGAGATGCTGGGGAGTGAATTTGGGATCTTCTGCATGCAAAGCAGATTTTTTACCACTGAGCCATGGCCCTTCCCCTAAAAACTCAGCCCTCTAAAGATTTACTAGTTATTACCATTACGTCTAGGGAATAACACTTGTGCACTGTTAGTAACAGGAGGGCCAGAGAAGCAAGGAGAAGGTTCCATCATGGCAGAGAGAAACTTACTCTCAACTAAGTGTGCCATGGACTGCATCTAAATGTTGCAACCTGGGTTTCTAGCCATGATAACTGAACAAAACATCAAAGTTCACATGCATTCAATTTCTAAATACCAGAAGCTGGCATTCAGAGACTGTAGCTCAGTGGCAGAGCATGTTCTTCGCATGCAAAAGGTTTCAGGTTTAGTCCTGGGCATCTCCAGTTAAAGGATCGGTGGTGGCAGCATTGGGAAGGACCTTCTCTCTATCTGGCAGCCAGGAGAACCAGTCAGAGTAGTTAATTCTAACCCAGATGACTTGGTATGAGGCAGTTTCACAAGCTCAAGTGGGGGGAAAAAGATGGAATGTTCATTACCACCAAGCCCCGATATAGATGTGCTGGAAGTGTCAAAGAAAACTACAGCAGCGCAACCTGGCTGTTATGCAGAAAAACGTATAAAAGTGGGGCTAAACCCTTTCCCCACCAATCTCTCCTGAGTTGCTTTTCTTTCGTATGGCTTACTGCCAGTCTCAAAACCAAGGCTGGAGAAGACTCTTGGGGGAAAGCTTGGGGATAAAATGTGTGCGGGCACAAAGATTCACTATTCACCCCTTTCCCCAGCTGAAGTTGTGCCCCTCCCCATTACGATTAAGAGAGATGGTGTTGCCCCTCAGAGTGTCAAATTACAACTGAGGGACAGCTGGGTCCAAATCTCTAGAGACTGGGTGACTCTAGGCCAGCTGTTCTCTCTCCACCTAAGCAACCTCACAGAATTGTTTGAGGACAAAAAGGATGGGGGGGGGCAGACACTGCACAGTCCTGAGTTCCTCAGAGGATAACCTGGGCAGGATGAAATCGAACAGTCAGCCACACAGGTCTGCTGCTGTTCAAGTCTGCCTGGACTTAGAGGCTATTGCTAAGACAGAACGTTGAATGACTCAGGCTGGATCAGGTACCACCCTTCAAATGAGCAAAATCAACCACTGCCTGTACACACACACACACATCCTCTGGCCTGCCTGAAAAGGACTCAGGGAGGCTCCCATTCTCCTGGCTTTCTGCAAATTACACAAAACTAAATTATTCAACAGGGTTGTTGTTTTTTTAAACACACTGTCTGATGCTATAAGTATGACCCAACTATGCAATTCCGGCACTGTTTGATGTAATCATGTAAATTGCTTACGCTTTGTTTCGGTTTGGTTTCAGCTCTGTTATCAGACTTCTGCGATCCAAACCGCTAATGTGTCATTTACTGGATGTTCAATTTCTGTTCATTTAAGCCGTCTCATGCTGTATAAGCCCACCTTGAATCTCAGTGAGAAACACCGACTATAAATGACGTAAATAAGAAAAATAAATAAATAAAATCAGCAAGGCAGTTTTGTTCTTGTGTTAGATCTCTACAGGCCCCATTAGCTGTCACTACCCAGAAAGATGCAAAGATTCTAGCAGCAGAGAATGCACAGCATTTACACACCCATCTTTTTACATGGCTGAACGTGCAGGTTTATGCATACCTGAGAAGGGTCATTGCCTGTTTCCAATTCAATCCCAGAAGCTGAGATCAGCCGCTGTCATTATGAAGCAGTCTGTCCAAGGCACTACAAAAAAACTAAAGCCAAAGCAATGATCAGTCACCGAGATTTGCAAGTTTGCAGCCATTCCCAGTGTTGAGATATGTAAGAATCCAGTGAATCCAGTCCTGCTGCACAACACCATCCCTTGAAAAACAAGCTGTTGTAAGAAGCACGAATGTCCTTTTAGGCCTTCAGACCATCTCCTCTTGCCAGCCGTACAGCACAATTGTATCATTATTATGGAGAACCAGCAGCCTCTGCATTATTAAAGGTTAGCCAGGGTTCATACTGAATTTTGAACTTTTCTTTGTTCCTAGCGTTTTAGACCAACCTAAAGCAGACCTGGACAGCCCAGGCTAGCCTGATCTCATCTGATCTCAGAGCTAAGCAGGGTCGGCCCTGGTTAGTATTTGGATGGGAGATGACCAAGGAAGTCCAGGGTCACGACACAGACCTAGATAGCGGCAACCCCCCCTCCAAACATCTCTTGCCTTGAAACCTAAATGTGACTTGATGGCAAACAACAAAAAAGCAGACACAGAAGTGAACTATACACTAGACTTCCATTTCCCTCTTTTTCATTTCAGGTGGGCGGCCGGTGTTAGTCTGTAGTAGTAAGCTTTCATGAGTCAAAGTTCACTTTGTCAGCTATTGAGGAAAATTCTGTTTGTCTTTAAGGTACTACTGGACTTGAATTTTGTTCTCTGTCTTTTTTTTGGAAGTTTTCTTAAGAAAGTTAACATTCCAGTTTACACAAGAGAGGGGTTGTGATATCAAACACTGCGTGAGCAGAAGCCAGGAAGGAACCCTGGTGGGAAATTTCTTACAAAAGCTGTATTCTCACCACGACCCCTATTTAAAACATGATCCTGTGCATGTTCATTCTGAAGTAGGTCCACAGAGTTCAAGAGGGCTTGCTCCCAAGCAGTGGTGCATAGGACTGCACTGTGCTCTATATGGCATGCATTCACCAGGTCTCACAATAAATAAATACTAAACACAGGTGAGCTGGCATTAATATGCCCACGGTTTAAGCTTGGACTACCAGTCACTGTTCATCTCTGTCATTTCCTTTCCTGTGCAGAATCTCTAAAAAGCCCTTTAGTCCCATAAAAGTCTTGCCCAGGGCCCCCCTGCCCATGCCCCCCATCCTGACCACCCACCTGTGGGCCTCCTTCTCCTGTCCTCTCACCACCTGTGTTCACAGCCACCTGCAGCCCTTTCCCCCAAAGGCAATGGGCAGTGTGTGCAGCGGTGAGCTCCACCTCCATGGCTTCCAAGAGCATTGCTATTGCTGTGCACGACCCACAAGCCCTTCCTCTGCTGGTAGTGGGCAGCATATTTATGCAGTCAGAACCATGGGTGGCAGAGTGCTTGCCAAGAAGGCAGGGGAAGGGCACACAGGCAGGTGACAAGTCAGAGGTGTGTGTGTGGGGAGGGTCAGCAGCACACCCTTCCAGAAGCCCAGGGCCCTGGTAGCTGCCCCACATCAGGGTATGCAGATGCCACTCCTGATCATAATCACTACTGCATGAGTATGAAGGTCAGGAGTAGCAGTAGTGCAGCAGCATCCTCCCCCCAAAAGGAGAGGGCGTGTTCAGTTGTGGAACTGCAATGTGGAAAGGTTTCGGAGAGGAGCTCACAGAGGCACAAAATCAGATGATGTCAGACACTATACAAGAGGGAAAACGATGGGACCTGTTTCAACATTCGACATCTATAATGAGAGATTTACTCAGCTACTGCTTTGATGGGCTGGTTGGATATAATGTAGTCGATGCAGGGTTCGAGACTCAAGGCTGTTTGTTTTCGTACACAGGTAGGCCAGAAGAGGATGGGACATTCAAAAATCAAAGACACAAAAGACATTTTCAAAGAAAGCAAGAGAAACTCAAACTTTACAAATAAGTGGAAGCAGCACTCTTTGACAGTCTGCATGGCTTTAATTGGCTGAAGGGATAAAGATCTACTAAAACTGGAACTTTTAAGCTGCTGGGAACTGTTTATTTACTTTGTGTTTCTTCACCTGATTTACATTGTTATTTGATACCCTATTGATTTATGAATATAACCTGAAGCAAAGTATTTTCAACTTTTGCACTGTCTTGACTGACTAATGAAAGCTATAAAATATGGACTTTTTATTTGAAACAACTTACTCTCTGTATTTGTAATGTCCTAATTGAAGGAGGATGAAAAGATATGGGCAGTCTGAATTTTTAGAGACGAATTGCACGGAAACTATAATTAATGGGTTACTTATTTAGAGAATGTGCATGGATTTAACTATTTTGAGAGAGACCATCGCTTCTCGGCCTTTTGACCAAGATCAAGTGTAGTGAGAGAGAAGACCAGATGTTACAGGATAAGGTGAAAGCTATATGGCCTTGTTAGTGTGAGAGCTGGATTGCAGGGAAAATATAACATTATGTTTAGGCCTGCTTGTTAACGAGATTTTGAAAACTAACAGTGTTAAAAATGTGAAAGAATATTTAAAGGGACTAGAATGTTAACTTAGAAGAAATATATGCCTTCTTTAGCATAGTTAAACTGCTAAGTTATGCCTGTTTCTTATGCCTGTTTCTTTTCTGTTGTTTTTATATTGATATAAAATAGATTAATAATAGTATAGTATTGATAAAATGAAATATAGTAGATAGAATATTGATGAATTAGTTTTATAATGGGAATAGATGCTTGGTTTAATAGTGTATGTTACTGAATACAAATTAAAATAAGGGGGGGAATGGGAATCTGTATACAAACATGATGATGTAAGCGAGATATTTGGCTAGCTATTTTAAAATGTATGTGTCAGGAGGGTGGTGTCCACCCTCTCCTGACTATGCCAGAAATGCCAGGAATAGACCCAGTAGATCTTACCGAGGCCAAACAGCCAGTCGTAGACTATTCCCAGGAGGCCCAGGGATCATGTCTAGTGGCTCTCAGCGAGGGGACATCTCTAAGAAGGGAGGAGGGAGAGGGCGTGGAACCACCTGGACAGGAAGACAGGGTTCTGATTGATGGCGACAAGGTTGGGGGGTGGAGTACAAAGAACAGAATCCCGTGGATTGCACGGTTGCTTTAAGAGGATTGCACGGTTACTTTAAGAGGATAGTGGTGGGTGAAACAGGTGGGGAAGTTGAACAAATAAAAGAACCACACAGGTGAAACGGAGGAGGAATGTGGAGAAAGTTCACGGCAGCAGACAGAGAGGAGGGAGCATGATCCACTCGGACTCGTCTAGTGAAACTCTCCTGGGTGTGGCTCGTAAAAAAATAACTAGCCTGTAGCCCATTCTGAGGTAAAACCTGGGTTTGAGTTTCATCCTCCCACCCTGGATTCTACCCCTGGCCGTCCTCCAACCCTTGCGACAGCGGAGCTTGACAGTATGGCTCTTTTCTATGTAACTTGTAAAAGAAACAAGAAACTTTGCCCAATCTGGGCAAGTAAAAAAAAGAAAAATACATCATTATAAACTTACTTCAGCCTTTGTGTCTATTACTGGTATTTCCCGGAAAAAGTGGGACCTCTGTATACACTGGTGATTGCTCCCTATTGCCTATTGCTATTCTATAAATCATAAATCCCCAATATTGATAAGAACATGAAGCAATCAGGCTAACAACATACACATTTTGGGAATAGATCAAGGTGGGTAGCCATGTTAGTCTGTCTGTAGCAGTAGAAAAGATCAAGAGTCCAGTAGCACCTTAAAGACTAACAAAATTTGGGGCAGGGTATGAGCTTTCGTGAGTCACTGCTCACTGAAGAAGTGAGCAGTGACTCACAAAAGCTCATACTGTGCCACACATTTTGTTAGTCTTCACTGGACTCTTGCTCTTTTCTACTGCTACATTTTGGGAAGTGATACCATAGAAGCATAGAGTTGGAAAGGACCTCCAGGGTCATCTAGTCCAACCCCTGCACAATGCAGGAAATTCACAAATACCTCCCCCTCCACTCAAACCATTTGAAAGTCTGAAAAGCCACTGTACTTTTTTAGCCTGAATCAGAATCAGCTTATTTCTACTTCGTATGCATATTCACCAAAGTATCCTTGATATATGCTTGGCTCACAATTTCTTAATGGTGGGTCAGCACCTGAAATGAGAAGTCATGGAAGTTTCCTGAGTGGCTCTCCATACAGTAGGCTGGCAGCAGGGGCTTTGGACATCTTCCTTGTGGAAAAGGAATTTTTTCTCCAGGCAAGTTTGGCCAGGGATCCTGGAGGTTTTTTGTCATCTTCTAGACATGGAACAGCGGCCACTGGAGGTGTAGGGGGAATTTGTGAATTTCCTGCATTGTGCAATGGGTTGGACTAGATGACCTTGGAGGTTCCTTCCAACTCTATGATTCTATGAATAAGGTTGTACAAAGAGTGAGACTCTCTTAAAAACGAACAGGCCACAACAGATCTCCTCGGGTTTCTCCCAAAGCTTTGAAGTGCTGGATTCTGTAACATGGAACTCCAAGACAGTCTTTACAGTCACAGGGGAGCTCGGGTTGCCAAATCCAGGTTGGGTAATTCCTAGCGATGGAGGTGGTGAAGCCTGGGAAGAGTGGGGTGGGGATGGAGGCTCCTTGGCAGGGTATAATGCCATAAAGTCCACCCTCTGAAGCAGCTATTGGCTCCAAGGAAACTGATCTCTGTTGTCTAGGAATCCATTGTAATTCCAGGAAATCTCTAGGTCGCACCCGGAAGCTGGTAATCCTAGGAAACACATGTCATGTGAGGGACTGCAGAGTGTTAAGTGCACCCTCCCCCCCCCCCCCCCCCTAAACAGCAGGGAAGTCACCATCTGGCCCTGTCAGATGCTGAATAATTCATCTCTCCTTTGTTAACCACGAGAGCAGTCCCTGGCCGAACAAAGACTGCTGGCAACCTGCATCCCCAGCCCTACGTTACCTCCCCTGGAACTCCTTATCGAGCAGCATCTTCAGGATCAGCACTTG